ACAAATGTTTATAAACAATATTTGGGAATTTGGGCATAGTTCTCCTCAAACTGCTTCCTGCTTTTCGTCAGGCAAAGTATATTTTGGGTTTTCACAAAGACCTTTTGGGTGATCTTGGTCCATCAAACTACATTAGTCTGGAAGGTTTCTGTGCATCACCAGCAGCAGGAATATGTGGTAGAAGAAATTCTTTACTTCATAGAAAACAAGAAGACCAGAATGCCAACATGAGGGAGCAAGTCAAGTCTCCAAGAACCTCTCCAGCTCTTCTCACCACTGCTCCTCCCATTCACCATCCCCTCCATTCTCTCTTGCTCCCTGCCATTGAATCACTTCCTTTAACCAAGAGCTAGCTCGAACAGTCCCACTACTTGCCAATAGTGTATTAAAATCTGAATTAATGTGTCAATGCCTTTAGAAATGTCTTCACAGTCATACCCATAGGTGTGCTTGTGTAATCTTATAGTATTTCCTACATCCAATTCAAATTAACAATCAAGATTAGTATCGTAGTGTTACTTGAGAAAAATGTCAAGGAAAAGAAAGCACACACACACATAAAAGAACAAAATGTCTCTTTCTGAGTATATAAGAAAAGTAAAAGGTGGTTACAGAAGGAAAGAGAAGCATTGGAGGGGACAAAATGATGTGACAAAGAATGTCTTCATTTGACTTTTTCTGCATTTTTAAATTATTTTTATTGAGCTCTACATTTTTCTCTGCTTTCTTCCCTACTTTATTTGATTTATAAATAGAAATCATCAAATATGATTATCAGCAAAACACTGTATGCTATTATGGCTTCAGTAGTCATCTTATTATTATATGTGAAAGTAAGTGAATGCTATATGTTCGAGAATTACAGTGGTCCAGGGCTGCAGTCATAGAGTAATGATGCAAATGTTCTTTAGACAATCCGCCAGCCACATGACTCACATTGTAAAACCTCCTTTCAAGGGGACCACCCCAGCTTCAAATTGAGGCCTCTTTCAAACTTACGGCACAGAAAAAGCAATCCTATTTGCCAATAGCATCTATGTTCATAGAGTCCCATCCACACTTCCTCACAAAAGGTGGGGGAGTGCAGGGGCATTCAGACTCTCACAACTGGAGACACTGGATTTCTTTATCAGATGACCTAAGAAGCTGAATATGGTGTCAGTTGTTGTCAGCAAACACAGACTAAGAACAAAAGAGGGAGAATAAAAAATGAAATCCATCATCTGAGCAGATATTATAAAGCAAAAAAAGCTGTGTGATCAAAATCCAAATTCTCAACCAAATTGCCAGAAAGTTTCTAATTTAGCTCAGTTTTTTTTAGCAAAACTGTTCAGTGTACCAGTACCAATATAGATAGGTGAACCTATTGTTTGCATTTGAAAATGGTAACATGAAACATCCATGTAAACAAAGAAAGAAAGAAACAAACAAACAAAAAACCCCCCGCAGTGTCTGTTTAAGAGATTGCAAGCTCATGTTTATTAGACTTGTACTCATTGATCAAAAGTTCTCTCCTCTCCATCCCTGTTTCCCTGTCTGTCATGCCCGGCCTAGGTTTATAAACAGGTACCATTTTGGAATTCCACTGCTGCCATTCATTCTCATCAGCTGTGTCTCAGCACACAGGATGCTGCTGAAGCACTTCCTCAGTACTGGCAGACTGGCTGGCATCCAGCCTGGACAAATTGCTGATCTTTCCTGCCACTCAATGTTAAATAGGGATTCTAGCCGGCACTGAAAAAATAGCTCCAAAAGCCACATTTAGCATCCAAAGACTGGCTGATATTTCTTAAGTATACATGATTTGGGTGCTAGGATTCCTTTAATGAATTTCAGTTTGGCCTAGAATCTGGCATGGGAAGAATCCTAAGCTTAAATTTAAAGCCCATATATAACTTTGTAAATCACTGAAGACAAGACAATCTGAGCCCCAGATGTTTGAACTACAAACTGAAATTCATAATCATTCTTCTTTCAGGCCATGTGACTATGAAAACAATTAATAAGGTACCATGTATAAATCCAGATGTACAATCCTTAGCAATCTTCTGTTTACCCTAATACCTCCTTCCACTCAGCCTAAACCACTCACCGTGACTGCTTCCTGGTATGAAGAACAGGGGAAATTTCAATGTATGATGGTAATCCCTTAGATAGACACATAATTAAGTTTATCCAATAGAAGCCTTTTTTTCGTCAGTGTGGCACCTGAACAAGGCAGCTTTTTCAGTGCAAGAAGTCAACTGGAACTTATCGGTCCCATTTAAAGGATGATCTCAGAGGAGTGGAAGAGTGTTATCAGTCCTCCAAGAATAAGGGATGTCTTGATGTGAGCCCATAGAGTCTAAGCTATAGTAAGAGAAGGCTTGAATCTAGCAACTCTTGTATGTGCATAGTGGCTATCTGAGGAAATGGAGGATCATTAATTGAAACATTGTCGAGGGAGCGAATTGCATCAAGAATATAAGAGAAACAATGTCTAGAGAGAAATCTGATCCCTGAAGAGGGTACACGTGTTTGAGAGAGATGGTAAGACATGGGTGTGAAGCTCAAGCACATACATATCACACATTTATATGTGTGTGTATGCAGCATACACTTAGAAATGTACTGCTGTTCGTGGTGGTACTAAGTGAATTAATAGCAGAAAATACTGCCAAGTTACAGTTTTTAAGGTCTGCCTATGGCCTGGAAGGCATGTTAGAATTTGAAAGTTAAGACCTAACTTGCTATTCAGCTTTTCTCCCTTGTTCTCCCAGGATTACTAGAAGGTCATTCCTGAAGACTCCATGATATTGACCAGTGCCCTTGGAAAATTATTCTGCCACTAATGACAGAGATAACATGTTTACTGAGTCCTAACATGAAAAAGCCTTTGGCTACCTACTTCAAGTGGCTTTGAGAAAGGTCCAACTGGGAGAGACCTTTATACCCCTCACCTCAAACATGCTGCAGTGGTCTCGTCTTGTGCGGATATCAATGTTGTCCTTGCACGTTTCCCTTTATAGAGAATAGTTACATAGTTACCATCAATACAGTTTTCTAAATGTCTAACTGGGGGTCTTGCATGAAATATTTCTGAAAAAGCAATCATCTTAGTTGAGAATATGAATGGATTGAGAGGTTTTTATGGCTTTTAATACTAAATATTTCAGGGTTTGGGTAACTCTTAATCTTCATAAGAAGTTAAACAAAGCAATTGATAATAGAAGGGACTTCCTCTGTGGTGCTAATGACTACTGGAAGTGTTTTTGTTTCTAGAATTTATAGACGTCAGTGATGCCTAGAGCTACACTTAGATGGTATTTAAGTAGTAACAAAATTCTCTGTTACCAAAGAGATGGACAGTATTCCTAGAATAAGGGGGTGGTCAAAGCACACAGAGAGATACATCTACACATAGAGTGGTAAAGCCATGAGCACTATGATTCGAAAAATCAACCCTGAAAGCATCATTGGGTTCTTTGGACTTGTGGAAAGCAAACTGAAGGAAGAGACATAATCTAAACCTATATGAAAATTATTTTACCACAATTGTCATTACTGATGTATTTTTATAGTTAATAAAATGTACTTATCAAATGTATCTTGTAAGCTCAGTACTTTCCACTGTATTAGGAATATAACAATGTAGGAATCAGGGAAATATCACATATGCGTTATCTATAGCAGAGCAAGTCTTAAAAGGGGCAATACTTTATTCGGTACCATGTTAGTCTTTGAGATAACTCACTACTCCAAACTGTCTTTTCCACTCACCAATGAATGGTTTTGACTTTTTACAATTTTCTCTATAAATGTAAATATCATTCATGCATACACTCATTCTTGTCTTTGTTCACACAATCCAATTGGTGTAATTTTGGATTCCCACAGAATATGAAAGGGACAATCATTTGCCTTCAGTGGACTCACAGCATGGGAGCAGGTGTAAGTAAATAAGCCAGCCACTGCAGCGTTATCTGATAGGTGTTAATAGAGTGATAAGAAAATGGGGAAAATGGAAACTGGGAGTGGGAAGCCTAAAAAGCAATTCGACCGATGATGGAAAGACCATCTGACCAAAGCCGTGCAGGTAGAAATTTAAGAGGGGTTGAAATTTTGTTTTGGATTATCGTAATTTTTGAGATACCTTGGGTGAAATATTGCGTTTAGAGATATGGATCCCACTGGTGGCACTGAGGGAATATGACCGTTAGTTGTTAGACATGGAGCATGAGGAAAGTGTGACACACTACTCTTTTGAAGGGAGCCAAGGCCAAGAACTGGAATAGGATGTACGAGGCAGTCAGAAGGGCACAAACATACCACCAAGAAACTGAAGCAGCTTGTTGACTATGCTGGGAATCAATATATTATAATCTGCATTTGTATGTATTTTGCCTGGAACTTACTGAACACCTCTGTTGTGTTATAGTAAATTGTTGCATGCCCTTTAGGGAGTTTGCAACTGTGTTAGGATGAAAGCCAACAGTACCAGTGGGGAGAAGGGAAACAGTTACACAGCTCAGATGGCAATGAGCGCTCTGCTACGTTGTCACTGGCTAATTGGAAAAATGTACAAAATGGTGCTATTCTAGTGTTTTCCCATGATTCATCAGGCTCCATCTCTTGTTCCATTTAATGCTTTCTTTTCTCCTAACCTTGGCAGGTGTGTGGGGAGGGCATAAATGAAGAGCTTCTCTGGTAAGATTAAGGAGAGACTGAAGTCAATGTTTTAAGCAAGTGACTTCCCGACACAGAAGGGGAAGGGCTTGGTGCTCTATCACTATCAAACAATCCATTCACATACATCCTCACAATCTATCATTCGACACACAGAGTTAGTAAAGACGTTGATCTTGTATGCACTCCCCATAAGTCTTGTATGTATTATTAATAAAGCTCTGGGGCGGGAAGTTTCCATCACTGCAATGACTCCAGCTTAGAAAGTTTGGGTTCATTCATGCGGAAATGCAGAGGACTTTGTCACAGTGCTAACATATGTATTTTTCTTGCAGATGGTTGAAAAAGAAGGGTATCTTCAAAAAGCCAAAATTGCAGATGGAGGAAAGAAGCTGAGGTAATGAAACTTCTTCAACTCTCTGTTGCATAACGGCACAGTCTCGTATATCCTCAGCTTGTATCACTGATAATGTTTGAGACGCAAGGCCACCCAAACCTAACTAGAACAGTTCCTTCTGTTACCATTGTTGACACCCTTATTGTTAAAATGATTATACTTTTCAAAGAAAGACATTGCATTCTATAGTGTTGCCCAGAATGTAAAAATGGCTGATGCCTCAAATTCTTAGGGCTAGAAATCTTTAAACATAAAAAGGGAAACATGGTTTCTGGATTAACAGATTGGGTTGTTGAATGAATTCATTTGCAGCATATAAAGATCTCTCTGCAATACCCGGAGAAGTTTTATGAAGGATAGAAGATTTGAACTGTATTTGTAGCTCAAAATTAAAAACCATTTAGAAAAAAAAGGGAAGAGAAAAAGAAAACCATGAACAAAAGATAGGAGGGGGAAATTTAAAAAATAATAAAAAACTTCCTGGATTGAAGGGCAGGAACAATAAAAGTGTTCAAGAAAAAGAACAAGTTGGTTTTTGGGTCAAGAAAGATACTCATTATGCTGTTTATAGGGGGGCTTTAAAATAGTCATCTCCCTTTTAGAATTTTTGCTATTTCATACATTTTGTATTCTATATTTAGCTTTATAGTATGGAATATACAAGTCATAAAGGTGCATGGAAGTACTCGAACTAAGAGACATTTATTTGGGAGTGTTTTACTGTTATAACTAAGTAGGATCAATATTCTAATTAGCTATACAATAGGACAACTGTTAATTGCATTACACAATAAGTTACTATAAAGATGCTTTGGCTAACACTAGAAAATGAAAGATACTTTAGTTTAATGGCTATAGTGGACAGAAATTTATATTTATTTGAAATAAAAATTAATGAAGTAGTTCCAGTGCCTACAATAGCTATTCTAATTTTTAAATAGGAGATAAGGTTAAATCTTCCCAAAGATATTTCCTGGTAGGAGTCAGACAGCCACCTTGCCTCAAAAGTACCATAGAGGCACAAGATCAAAGGAAAAGCATCTGTAGGTCTAGCCTTCTCTGTCCCCGGAGAACTGCCAGTCAAACTTTGAAAGAACAACAGGTGAGAATCATTGCCTGACTAGCTCAGCCGTGTATTTTTTTTTTCCCATGAACCTCATCCCATAATCAAAACTCAGGCATGTGGAGGGTACAGCAAGAGCAAGCTGGCCAAAAGCCTTTGTTACACGACCAACCACATGAGTCCCCACCCCTACCCCAACACAAGAAACTCCAGCTCACTCATTCATTCTTCCCTGCTGTGTTGGCGCCAGAAACAATGATGGCATTGGTCACTGTTCCTCTCCACCATCACACAAACAGGGGTGCCATGAAAACAAAGCAACTGGCCTTCTGTGGTGGCTCCATGGAGCACACTCCTCCGTGCCCCATTAGCCAGTCTTGTAACATACTCCTAGAAGTAAGGATCAGAAGCATCAGTGCCAGGGAGCAGCCCCTTCCCAGCAAACTCTCACGAACATGGTGCATAGTGTTTCAGTATATGTACCCCTGTGCGTTTGCTTTGTTTTTCATAAAAACTTAATTTGTGTACAGCATCTAGAGAGAAGCTTACATTCATATAAGCATTGGCGTGTACTCTATTTTACTGGTTTTTCAATCAGCTTGTATGCCACTAAGCATTCTTTCAGATTTCTTTTTATAATTTTATAAAGTTTAGTTTTTCTTGTTTTAGAACTCTCAGGTGTGGTGAATTGAATTAATGATACCCTTCAGTTGTAGCGCTATGATATTGTATTGGGGCAAGCACCCTAGGTGGTTTTACTTCATATTCTCTCCTACTCTCAGATCAAGCTCCTGTTCTTTAAATCCCCTATTCATACATCTATTTGGTTTTTTTTTTGTGGTGTTTGAAACAAACAAACAAAATAATTGTTTATGATAATGTGTACATTAATGTGTTCTATGTTGCATAAACAGTTTTATATTCAAAATCTTATGTTTTTTGCCATGTTCATCCAATATTAGTGTAATAATATCTACAGTGATGCTATATCAAGCCCATTTCACCCTTTTTGTCTCCCATTTGCCATTATGTATTTGTACCAAATCTTATTTTCACAAGTCCCCCAGGCACAAAGACACAAGTTATCTCTAACTCTTCTTTGATCTAAAACATTACAAAAAATCATACATAATTGTTTCTTTGGAACCTGTTAGAAGTTCTCTTGGGGAACTGATCTCAGGAATTAAAATTTCTTGGGCATCTGCTGTGTGCTACTGACAGGCTCTTGAAGGACTGCTGAAACTCACACACATTTGTCTTGCATGGCAAAAGGGATTCTATTTCTCTAGAACCCAACCCAAGCCAACCAAACATTCTACTTTTCATGCAGTCAAAAATGTGGCCCCAGACTGTTTCCTTGTTTCTCCTCTCATTTCCCTTCCACTGATTGGTATTACAGTTGAGTGTGACTTTAATTGTTCATTTAGAGTCACTCAAATTCTGCATTGCAAGAACGCTTTATCCAAGAGCTTTGACTACTCACTATTGTGTGTCTTGTCTTTTTCTTGTTTGAGAGAATATAAAATAAATCATAGATAACAATACTTTGTTTTGGACATTATAAATATCTCCCTAAATTCGTGGAGTTAATTTTTACTTTTAATATAGATGCCTTAATATAGTGAACATTTTAAATGTAGTAGTCACCATTTTTATATACTTAGTATCCTGCCCTTTTCATGAGCTATAATATGCCAAATGATTTCTATTATCATTTTAATTTACTTTTTGAGTCAAGTTTTATACTAAAGGTGTAATAACTGCAATATACTTTCTAATTATTGTCATTTTTAATATATTTTCTAAAGATCAATTCTAAGCCTGGGTTACCTGATCAAATTGCATGACTGATAATGAATCTTAGGAGCTGGGAAGGTGATGAAGTGGGTAACAGTGTTTTCCACACAGGACCTGGGTTCCAATATCCAAACCCCACAGGAAAACGGCTGGAATGATTAAAGACAAATGTATATGCGGAGAGCTCACTGCCATTCCATCAAGCTAAAACAAAACAGTGACAGGACAGATATCTATTGTCCTCTTCTGGCCTCGATAAAGGTGCACACAGGGGCAGGAATCCACACACACACACACACACACACACACACTCACAACATACATGTGAGTGCAACCGCAGATGTGAACCCTCTCCCACACCCACACCTTAAGGAAAAGAACATACTATTCTTGCAATATGTTACTAATGCTTATTCAAAGTTTATACTTTTATCAGCAGTAACAGGCAGGTCAGGTTGGTCATAACCTTGAAAAATTATAGAGGTTTTGTTACATGGATCATTTAATAATTATTCAATGATGTCATCTAGTTATCATAATTTGTATTGCTTATGTGATATTTTCTATGGGCTGTTTCCCATTCATCAAGGATCTTATATCACTTTAGTAAAATTTAATGAGCTAATAAGCACAATTAATAAATGCTTATTCTGCCAAGCACATGGTTCATTGTGATAGTAATGTTAGTACTTAAGTACTTAAGTCATCTTGTTTTGCAAATCTAAAATCATCTTCTCCTTAACTGCTCCTTTTTGCCAGAGTCTGGCAGTTGTACTTGTACCAGCATCTCACCTTGGGCTGCTTGAAATGCACTTGTGTGTCCCTTCTTGATTTTAGCTGTGTGAGGCCAAGAAGCGAGACCTGTTCTTTTGTTTCCTGACACCGTTGGTCCCGAGAGCTTCGGCTGTCATTTATTAATATTAATAAAAAATAGCGCTTTGGAAACTTCTGCAAAGTTTTCTATGTCTAAATCTATGCTATGTCATTTACATTTTACATCTTTCCCTTTTCTGAACTTGTCTTTCCTTGTTATCATTTTCACTTGTCTTTATTTTTCTCTTTCCTATGTTTTCTTTTGCATAAGGAAAAACAAATTACTCATGCTGCTAGGGGAAGGTGGCAGGAAAGAGTCTGCTGGTTTTATCTTACATTCATAAAAGGCCCCAAACTTAGCCTTGTTTTGAAATGAGGTTATGGACATTTCCCTTGCGATATACTGGCAGGCTTGAAAGCAGGATTCATTCAGCATTCAACGTTAATTTTTAATTATGAACCTTGAAATTATGCCTCAGCTTTTCTGATGAATCTCGGGAACGTTTTCATTTCGGGAATTGCATCCTCGTGGCAGGAAGTTGCTCTGGCTTGTCTGAAGCTCCGTGATGATTTAGTCATGGCTTTTTGGATTGTTTTTGTTTGCTTGGTTGGTTGGTTTTGTTCTTTAGTTCCTAGAGCTTAAGGTTACAAACGGCACCTGCTAATGTGCTCACACACATTCAGTATCTCACACATTTCTGCATGTGTGCCTTTCCTCTGTCGGTTCCTCTGGGGCTCCGTACATCTCTTCACGTTTAGATCTCGTTTCGCATTCCCCTCAGAATGACATTGGCAATACTTGGTGTGAATGTGGACAGAAAACGGGCAGAAAAGCAAACCTGAAAGGGGCTGTAGTGGTCACCTTTACTAGTGGAACATTCTTCACAGGCTCAGAGCTTAGACTGTGTGCTGATGCACGCACGAGTGTGCGCACGCGCACTGATCATTATCATCAGTATATTTCCTTTTCTTTAGACTGTGATACTAAAGTCCACCCCCCTCACCCCCGGCATGTGAACATAATTTTCTGAGTACTTTCTGCTCAGATTGTCAATAAATTAACACAAACCCAATCTCTCTGGCCCCTTGCCACTCTCCTTCCTTCCTTCTTTTCCTCTCTTCCTGCCTCCCTCCCTCTTCTTGCAACCCTGAAAGAAATGTGCATTTTATACCTACTGTCTCATTGATGCAATTCTTATCGAGTTATATTGCAGAAGCTTAAAATATGAGAGAGAACACAGAAGTTCTCAGACCTGCTTCTCCAAAGAGTCTGGAGGGTTTTTTACGGTAAATCATTCAGAGGCACTTGGGTAGATCCCCCACTCATGCTACAGCACAGACTCATATCTACTCTAGAGTAACCAAGCCAGGCAACAAACAGCACCAGGTGACCCAAAGAGAATCTGGAGTTGATGATGTCACTCCACGTGTATTTTCCTCTGTTCTGGCTTGTTGATGTGTAAGTAAAGAACACGAGGAGGCGTGCAGTGCAGAAAGCCTCGAGAGATAGACAGTTAGTTGTCCTAGACCCTTAGATGGCTGAAGAGTATTTTCAGGGTCATTTCCATCCCGCAGCCAAGCAGGTATCTGCTGCTGTTATGTGCTGCCATCCGGTGTCCATTTGGTAGAATGTCAAGCTGATGCCTATGTCGGGGCTTTTTATTGTTTTGGTTTTACTTTGTTTCACCTTCCATTTCTTCCACTTCACAACACACAGTTTGTTTTCGTAAGTTATTGGAAGTATTCCACTCGCCTAAAATGCCCTGGCAATTGCCCATATCAAAAATCAGTTGATCAGATATGAATTTAGTACTTTTGGCTTTGAAATTATATGACCTTTTATCTTATTAGATATCATGTATTTTGTTTTTTTTTTTTTTCAAACTGCAAAACATGTTTTCATTCCCGATCCCTAAAAGACTAGCTGAAATTCCTAACTGAATATCTTGAAGTCTGTGTGGGGACCTGGACTCCCTTGCTCATTCCACGGCTACTGATTCCTTACTACCTAAGCAAACATATATTTGAAAGAGAGAGAGAGAGAGAGAGAGAGAGAGAGAGAGAGAGAGAGAGAGAGAGCTAGCAACTTTTAAACGTTCTCTCAATGCCCCGATGTTATGAGGAATGTAGAGTGTGCAGGTTTTAGCTGCCTCCCACTGGTGTAGGAAAACACTTGCTCAGCAGGAGGTGGTACAGAAGGCTGGAACCAGCAAGACAGGCATCTCTGCTCTCAGGATGATGAGGTCTAAAGCTTCTCCAAGAGCATGCTCTCCTCTCCTAACTCTGCATAGAGCTTGCAGAATCGGAGAGTGCAGGCATGCCCCTGCTCCAGAGACAGCTCATCTTTCAGAATGAGTGTAGGCCTCAGGGTCAAATCCTTAAATGTCTTCTGTATGACTGTGTGCCTTTAGGAAGACACTTTCTCAGTCAACTGCAGTTTTCTCTTCAGTTGCCCTGGCTGCTCACCCATATGCAAGGGTTACTCGGGGAATTAGTATCTTTTATGTTTTAGGGGAGTCTTCTAGTCACTGACAAAAACCCTGGAGATGCATCTTACCTTCTTTTTTATCTTTTGCTTACTATCTTTGCTTTTCTAACCTGCCCTTGGAATGATTTGGGAATGTATGTGAGCAGTTACTTGTGACTGACTAAGTGATTCTGATACGTGATGTATGTAGAACACCGCTGGCAAACTGTGCAGCAAGCAGGAGCCAAAGCTCCACTGTAGCTCCCATGATTGAAAGTTTTGGGAAGTAGAGAAGATCTAGCTGGGGACTGGTCAGACTGCTAATCTTCTTTATAAGAATTTAGTAAAGTCATTGGTAAGGCAGCCTAAATGGCTGACTCGTTCTCACAAATAGTTCTTTTAAAATTGAGGGAGTCAGCCAAGGCTATGTTGCTGACATTGATGATAAGCAAGTTAGCACTGCTTAAATCTTGTAAAAATACAGCATAAGGTCATCGATTCCATAGATGACAAGGTGCATTTTCAGAGAAACTGGACTTGGCCTGCGTGCTCATGTGGTCTCAAGTAAGTCATCTAAATTCTCTGAACCTAGCTTTCTGCAGTAGTCCACGGGAACATTAGGAGTTTCATTGTTTTGGGCATGAGTATAACCTTTTACTAGTCATTCAATAAAATTATGTCATTGGTATTTTTAAAAGAAATCATGGGAGACATTGAAGTGAAAGGGGCCTTAAATTTATCTGCTGCCTTTTCACTATTTATTTTGACAAGATTTTTAAGCCGGGGGATTCAGCTGTTGGGGCAGCTTTCCTCTTCATTGTGACAAAATAAAGATGATTTTGGAGACAGACAAAGCTGGCACCAGACAAGGGTATTCCAGAGGGCCACGCGGCTAAGCTTCCCAGCTCTTCTTTCTTATGCATTAGTGTTTGTCCTTCCAGCTAACCTACCAGGGACACCGGGCAAAGTCCTAAGACAGAAAGGTGGCGTAACTGGAATTCATGGACTTCCTGTGTAACCCGCTCCAGTTAGAAGTTTAAGGAACAGAAAAGTTTTTTTTTTCCAGCAAGTTCTATAAACGATCAACATCTGAAACAGATTCAAACCAGAACTATTTCTCTAGGAACTTCTATAGATAGGAAGCAAACACGGTGTGCGAGCGAGCACCCTGCCAGAAGACAGGAACTCGACTGAGAAGCATAGCAGGTGGATTGAATATGGGTCCATCCCGTCAGGAGGTCTCACACTCTCATCCCACATGGTCAAAAGGGCTGTGACAGAGAAGACCAGACTTGACCGGTAGCTCCAGGCTTCCCGTTCTTCTTTCTGAAGTCATCTGATACTGTGAATTGCTTAAAGCGAAGGCTGTTACTGATTCAATTCACCTTAGTACTGTTGGTATCTACAAAGAGAAGTGGGCAGTAATCCAGACAGAACATGCTATATTTTTCTCTTGCTGTCTGACTTTCCATAATTTGATTGAGACATTGACTATCATCTGAAGACAAGTGAGTCCAACAGCATGCTATTGTCTGATGAAATTCTGGACGTGTTCCTTGTATGCCTGTTTATTTTGTTCTTTTGCATTAGTGTATCATTAAGAATGCTTCAGGAGGCTGCAGTGATGGCTCGGTGGTTAAGAGCAGTTTCTACTATTCCAGAGGCCCCAACTTTGGTTATTAGCACCAGCGTGGTGGCTCACACTGTCCTTGACTCCTGTTCCCTGAGACCTGACACCCTCTTTTGGCTCTGCAGGCGCAAGGCATATATACATACCCACAGGAAAAACTCGAAAACACATAAAATAAGAATAAATAAATACCTTTTAAAAACAGACAGCTTCAGACATGTAAGAGCAGCCACATTCTTTTTGTCAGCATTAGCCACACTAAATAAAATGGCCTTTATAGTTAATGCTCATGATTCTAAATAGAAAGTGGAAAGAAATTACACAAAATCTTATGTACATGGATACACAAAAATATGTCATAGTCTCACATTTTATATGGTTTTCTATTTATATGAGTGAAAGCTTTTCTGTAATCTTTTTTTCATCACTTTTTGTAAGAGCAATACAATACAGTTAAATAAATGTTAAGCTAGAGAAAGCAGCAACAATGTAATTTAATGGTAGAAACCTGTGCATATCATTCTTGTTGGTAGTTTTGCCACCTGAGAAAGAAAACCTTCCCAACACTAATACACATACTCCAAATGCAGAAGCACTAATGTGTTTAGTTAAAGAAACAAGTAAAACTAGGAAATACAAAGGGAAGGAAAAATCTGTAATCTCACTATCTTTTTAACTATAGCTACATCGAGACTTTTTTCTTAGGCCAAAGTGCTCATTGATCAGATAAATGTCCATTTAGCTCCTAGACTCTCCAGGACTCTGTGCTAGGCTCTGAAAATACCCAATAATGTTGAAATGATTTCTGTTGCCTGGGGGCTTGTATTTTAATGAAGGCAATGAAAGTGAAAAATTTTGAAGTATTTTTTTTAATTCATCATGTTACATGTCATGAATGTACTTTGAGGGAAGCAATATTTGGACTTCTGATGGATGGAATTAATAATCAGAAGGGGCTGAGCTGGGTGCAAACGGTTCTAGGTAAATTGCAGAGCACAGAGCAAAGTATATATTACGGGCTACATTAAAATCTTCCCACATCAGTATTCTTAAACACAGGGGTCATTCTTCCAATGTACTCTTCTGTTATGAGCAATTTTTTAAGCAATCTCCATTTTTGTTTGTTTGCTTATTTTTTTATTCTTTAGGAGCAGAATTAACGTGGAGTGTGCAATTCATCTTAATGGTCAGAACCTGGAAACCTGGTCCTATTTCTTTAGGGCAAAGTTCAATTCATGGGAATAAAAATGCCTAGTCAATAACAACATCTAAATTTCTTGTAAATTAATGAGAAATATATTGCTCAATGGCACTCGAGAAGAGACAGTGTGAGAGAATGTAGTTAACGCTGGTTCTTTCAATGCTTGGCACTTTCACGGGAAAGAGGAGAACACACACCTCTGCTCCCATGTGTAGTTCTCTGATTGCTGGCGAGTGTCAAAGCATTTTGATTTAAAGGACGGCACATGAGCTGGTCAGGCTCTCAGATTCTCAGTCGTGCTACATCAACAAAATGGAGCAGTGACGGAGCAGCCTCCAACACTTTAACCTTCGTGCTTCGGTCCTGCGAGGAGGCACAAGGGTAGAAATAAACATGGCCATGGATCAGTTAGAGGGCATCTAAGAGGATTTACAAATTCAGAAACTTTTATTTATGTGTCAAAAACTTTAAAATTCAAGAGATTACTGTGTTTATTATTATCTGAGTTTTCTTCCACTTAACTGATTTACATAAATAGAAGACTTTTGGGAGAACCCATTGAAAATAGTCTGCAACCACAACAAACTCCTGGCATAGTTCATATATGATCGTTTCTACTCATGACATATTTATTTATTTATTTCCCCCCTAAAGGAAAAACTGGTCTACGTCCTGGATTGTTCTTTCTGGTCCAAAGATTGAATTTTACAAAGACGCCAAGCAGCAAGCTCTCCCCAACATGGTAGGTCTCTACTTTTGTTACCATCTTTTCAGAAACAGTGTGGAACGGAAAGTGTGGTTAAATCAGCTCTCAGACCAAAGTCTCTAAGCTACCTACACCCAAAAACAGATGGAGGAAATGATGCAATAACCTCTTAATCAGACGAAGGGAAAACAGAATGTAGGGTCTGGTTTGTTGAGGGCTGCATTTGGAGAAGACGCACAAATGAGATGGATGGCGAGCAGCTATATGGTAATGGGAAGGTAACACTTTAAATTAAGGCGCCATTTATAAGTGCTTTATTCTTATTTATGAAATAATCACTAAATGCTGCTACTTTCCCAAATAATGTATTATACAGCGTGTTATAAAATGCATTAGTAATAAATGTTTAACGGATGAGACTATGGGAGTCTGCTTTAAAGAATATTATAAGACGTAAATCGTATTAAACCATGTATGCACATCTTTAATACATGGATTTAAGTTGTTATCTTGCATTCTATAAAGTGCCTCCCACATTAATAAATAATAATAAACTCTTTATAAATGGCACCTTAATAAAGGGTGTTGCCAATGAGAAAACCCTCTAAGTTAACGAAGCGATTTTTTATCTTAGTCTAACTACGGCATCCCCTGTATCCAGCTAACCTTTGTGAATGCGCTTATGACTGCGCCTAATCACCCTAATGCAATTGCTGTTTCTTGCGGTTATTGCAAAGTGAGATTTGCGAAATTGCTCCACGGCACCTGAAGGAAGGCCCCACCGGCCGCAGAGATGTGTACCCGCAGGAGCAATTTGGAGTTCCTTACTGGTAAAACCTTAAACTCAAAACCTTGCTGCCCGAACACAGCAGCAACCATGAAGAGCAAGAAAGGGCGGGCAGACTGTTTGCCAGGTGCTGATTATGAAGGACTCTTCACAAGGAACTAACCTGCCTTATTCTATTGGTTTGATAGGTGATAAGGAAAGTGGTGGCCTGGCGGGAGGGAACCACAAGGAACTAATTTATATTTGGCAGGTAATAAAATAATGACAGGTTCTTTGTCTTACAGCCGCTAGTCATGTTCACCATATAATCCTCTTTAAATAGAAAATGGGAACTCTAGCTAAGAGACGTCTTTTAAAGAAGAAAAATTTAGTAGGAACAAAGGATCACATGTGGCTTGTTCCCCATCATTTCAATCACCTTTGTCTGCAAGGGGCTGATTTTTGGAGTCTCAGTAAGGTCCAATCTACAAACTAATGATGAATAAATTAAAATTATCTTTGTCCATTGCATTTTAAATTACTTCAGAAATTTGTTTTAGTGCTTTGTTTCGCTTCTCCTTTTGGCTACAGTGAGGTTGAGATAGCATTTGAAGGAACATAAAATACCACCTAAGGCTGGGCACAAAACAACACCCACTTCCTGGCAGAGACTTTGTTTTCTTTTTGAATGAGTTCTATGGGGAAGGTAGGAAGTGGGAAGGTGCCAGCCTGCCTGGGCTTGATACTAAGAAGATGATTCTTGTCCTGCTGAGGGAGAAGAATCCCACTGGAGCTGAGTCAGATGGAGATAATGGGATGGATTAATTCCATATTAAAGCATTTATTTCATTATTTTTAATCTCCTCATATGGGGGAGATACAATTCTCTCTGCTGTTTAATTATATAAAGGTGAAAGAAAATTCACTTTTCCATTGCAGGTTAGTTCACTAATTGGACGCCACCAATGCAACCTTCAGAGTTGTGACAAAGTGACAATGCATTTTTGACTTGTAGAAGAAATTCATTGACTTTGCTTTTTTGTTTTGTTTTGTTTTTGGCAGTCTTTATTTATTACTTCTGGCCCCATTTCCAGTGCTCTTAGTTTCTCCCAGGCATGCATTGTCTTCAAAGCACATTCTGGGTAGGGGTAACTGTTCTGTGGTAAAGGAAAGAGAGAATTACAGATCTGTGTTTGTGCCGCATGAATTGTCTTGCTAGTCAACTTCTTGGACGCATTTCTAAACAAGTATAAAAGGCCTGGTGGGATGGCTGCATTTACCAGCTCCAGTCTCAGAGAAATGATACAATGATTGCCAGGCCTTGATTAAAGATGCTGTGGTTTTATTCTGGAAGAGGGTTGTGCTCAAGTTTCTGAATTTCTCTTACACCCCTTAACTGAGCCCTGGTGTTCACTTGCGTTCTGAGGAAAAGCCTTTCCTCGACTGGGCCTGGCGAAGCTGCCCTAAGAGCAGACTGTGGCCTAAAGAGTTAACTGTGCTCTAAGCTTTCTGAGCCACCTTACAGTGGTAATCCAGAGATGAGACAAAGTTCGGGGTAGCTCAGAGCGGGCTAACGACAGACCCGGAGGACCAGACCAGTTCTCTTCGCCACTTACGGAGTTACTCAACTTCTTTCAGCTGGGAGTCCACACAAGAAGGGCAGGGTAGTTTTATCAGCAAAAAAAACGGAACAAAAGTAGCTAAGTAGAACCACAGGGTTATACCATCTCCAAACAATTCCTAATCACCTGCTCTCATATTTGCCAATAATGTATGTACATATTTGAAGGTGAATATCTGTGGTTCAGTGTATTTTCTGCTCTCTCGCAAGTCCCGGGTTCAGTTACCAGTACTCTTAATGCAATTCATAACCCTCTGTATTTCTGATTCCAGGAACTTTGATGCCCCTGGTCTTTACTGAAACCAGGCACACAAAACATGCAGTCAAAAGACTCATACACATAAATTAAAAGAAATAAGTATTTAAAATCAATTAACTATATAAACATTTTATACCATACATAATTTAGGCAGCAGTATAGGAAAGATATTATTATACCATATTAATTTTATATGATTTGTTTCACATATTTATAGAATAGAGAATACATATATATGTGTGTAATATATGTATTTTCTATTCTGTATATATGTATATGTGTATATATATGTATATATATATAGGGGTTCTCACTATGGAACCCTGGCTTGCCTGGACCATCTTGTTATGTAGACCAGGCTGTCTTGAACTTAAACAGAGAGCAATCTGCCTATGCCCTCGAATTTTTGTTATACCACCATGCTTGTCTGGCAAAATGGCACAAATGTAAGAAAATACTGTTGTGCAAGGCTTTCATGAAGAGAAAAAAATCTGTATCCAAAGGCAGCAAAAGATATCTCTTGAAATGAAGCATCCATTCATCTGGAACTCAGATAGTCCTTCCTGAATGTCCTGAGCGTTTCTGGATTCCCTTTTCTCCCATGGGTCTTCACTACTGCTACTTGATTCAGCATCTCACAGAATGTTGGGGCTGATCCGCACAGCCCACGTTTGGCAACTCTTCTTCTCACTGAAGTGTTTTCAGTGACTGTCTCTTCCCCCCACTTAGGGCTGATATAACAGCATACCACAGGGGCACATCTCAAACAACAAATGCTAAGTTCTCATGATTTTGGAGTCTGCAAAGTCCAAGATAGAGGCATTGGTAGGTCTAGGATTCAGTGAGAATGCCCTTCCTGCGTGGATCCCATCTCTCTGTAATCCCACACATAGCAGGCAGAACATTAAGGCTTCGTCCTTCTTAGCAGATTCCACTTCCAACCCCAGCTTTTAACAGCATGGCAAGGGCTTAGGATTCAATATAGGAACATGTTGATTCCACAGCAATATCCTAGTCCCACTTTTGTCCAGGAAACACGCACAGGATCACGTGGCTTTGGGTCCATGGTCCTCCCTTTAAAGGAAACAGAGGACTTTTATCCATTTCAGTGTTTTGAATCAGAAGATCAAACAGTAACTGATCGCCTATTGTCGGCATTTCATAACAGAAGGCCACTGCAACCCTCCAAACATCTAGGAGAGAAAGAAAAGAACAAAAGTCAGTCTCTACAGAGAAAGGAACAGATCCAAAGGAACAGATCTGCTGTCTTCCTGCATCCTGTTCCTGCTTATCCAGCTCACCTCAGATCAGAACGTGGTCACTGCTGGTTGCTGCACTTTTTATGGTCCTGAATACCGGCTAGAAGTTTTCTGTGTTTTCAGATGTAGCCCACTTTATATTCCCTTATTTTTATTCTAAGTCTCATCCAAAGCATGTTAAAGCATCTTACTGTATTCTCCAAATGTCTGAACAGTCTTCTTTTTTTCTTTCTGTATTTTTGTCTTTTTGAGCTCAGTTGGGAGTACTTTTTCTGTGTGTGTCTTTCAGTTCTTTATTTAAGTCTTCTCATGTGATAAACATTTTTCCTCTAATTTCAAATAGTATGATTTTTTTCACTTCTGGAGTTTGTTTCTTTAAATTTATTCTGTCAGCTGGCGTAGCTCCTTGTTTCCTGCAGGTATTTTCCAGTCTCCATTTTAATTTTTGGAAAAAAGGAGGAATGGTTGTTTTATGACCGATCTTGTGTGTTTAGCATCAGTGGTCCAGGGCCTCACTCCATTCCATGTGTTTCTGCTGCCTCTGACTCGTGCTTCTTGGGTTCCTGATTGTCATTGCTCATCTTTGGCTGTGTACTAACCATCGAGATGGCAATGTGATTGTGGTGGTGGGAGGTGTGTGCCCTGTGTTTGGGATACATGTGTTCTACTTTTGGGAGTGCTTTGTAGTTTCAAAACAGGTGTAAGGCCATGATGCCTTGTCTCAGACTGTGGAATTAGAGTCTCAGGTTGTGTCTTGGAAATGGGAGAGCTACAGAAACACTGTAACTTCTTGGGGACAAGACTCTCCTCTGCTTCTTTAACATTTTAGCCTACTCAACACTTCCCTTCTGTGCTCTCTTGGAACCAGAGAAAAGAACAGTTTCAGCACTGATTCTTGTCTATCCTTCCATGAAAGCTTGGCAGGCCCTTGTCCTATTACACCGTGGTGTGGAACAAACCTCAAATATGAAATATAAACAAATGACCTCAGAGGACCATGAAGTTCTGTTGCTTTGATACTCAGGTTCCCTGTCTATTTCCCACCTCAAATACACAAATAAAAACTTCAGCATGACATCCCCCTCTGCCATTTCCGACTTTCAGTTCTGAAATATTTTTTAAAAGGTATTT